TATATAATTTTAGACGAGAAATAAGTTGTTCTTTTTTTTCAAATGCAACTGACATATTTCTGGTTGAGTGTTTCATAGAAACAGCAAGTTAAGAGATATATCAATGGAGTGAACTCAGCAATAGCTGCATAAAACACTGACTGTTCTTTTTTTAATTATCTTCAAACACATGTTCTAAATTATAATCTATCGTAAAAGAAACGGAAGCACATTCAGTGCAAGGTTTCAAGTCCACTGGGTATTAATTTCTTTTTAATTTTTATATTTGCTTATGAGTATCTAATAAAATAAAATACATGATGAAAATTTTAGTTCAAGTAAAATTACAACAAAATAAATCATTAGTTTCTAGGTTAGATGTATACTAAGTAGCTATATTCAGACCCAAACATAGTTAATGCATTGCTATTGTCTTGACAAGGTTCGTCAAATGCAATGCATTCGTAAAAGAACACCATATTCAAAAAAAATATACGTAATTCATTCTATTACAGAGCTGCCATTTCTCATTTTTCAAATGGGATTTTTGAAAGTCGAAATGGGGTACATTGTCTGCCTCCTAAAATAGAGGATTTAATTGAGAAAAATGACCTAATAAACACCACCATTAGAAATAGAAAAGCTATTAGCGCAATCCCTCTGGGATTAAAAATGTGAAACATGACATAATCACTGCAAGAAATCACGTGGAGATGGTGTATTCAAGGGAGTTCTTTATAGATTTTGTGAGACAGCTCGTTTGCCACTACCAGTGATGATCTATGAGAGATCTGAAGCTAGCCTGTCACGCTGTATGATGGTCTCTGAAGATTTTCTGTAATAGTCTGTGATGTGCACTCAATCCATATGGTACCAATTAGTCAATTAATTAAAGCGTATGCCACAATCTGTAGTAATTTCTGAACACCCTCTGTCACGATCTGTGATGGCCAATTAAGTAATTGCATAGTAACTAGTTAATTAACTAAGNCTTTTTGACTTTGATGAACATTTTTTTCTTTGATATTAGTAGCTGGCTTGTCTCGGAAACTGGGAAATTCTTCACTTGCTGTTGCTTCTGAATCGTCAGAAATTTCAACTTCATAATCTTTGTTCACTGCCATGCAAAAATTATCAATGAGATCAAATACATTGAAGGGAAAGTCTAAAACTCGATTCATTTTTGAGTCAATATATATTTATCAAACTTAATTGAAAAAAGTAATGAAACGATGGGAAAGGAGAAAAGGAAAAAATTCAATAAAATCTATTTCATTATTCATAGTGAAAACAGTATGTAAAACCGAATAATTAAAGACGAAATTAAACGAAATGGGTGTTAATATCTATTGGTCAGATATTTACCAACACATTTTATTATACATTTCTTTATGAAAATGAGAAAAGTCTAGAAGAAGATAGGTTGCTTTCATTAGAAGATTAGGTAGTCGCATCGTAGACTTAAAAGTCTAAATGGGGAGGGGGGGGGTGCAAAATAGTGAAATGGAGCACAGTTGGCAGCCTTGTTCTACTAACGATAAAAGAAACATATTTGTAATAGCTATCCTTCGTTTTTTCTTGTGTTTCTTGCATCGTAGTTCTTTTTTAATTCTACGACTATGTCTCGTTTTCTACTGTAATCCTTGTACAACTTATTAAAAGTAACTGATTATGTATAGATCCTCGAGTTGAGTTTTGATATAGGATATAAGAACGATAAACAGTTCATCATATGTTACCTTAATTTCATTAAAAGTATAAATGTTCTCTTACATTTACTTATCTTTCATTTTACGCCACTCCTAATTAAAATAATCATGCGGGGATTATTTGTAGGTTCTTTGTACTGCATAGCCTTATCTCTTATTATGTTGATCTTATTCAATTGCAATAATGTCTCCTGTGTCCGGTTTTGGTATGAACTGAACATGATCATTATCATAATGGCGGAAAGAAAATAAATTTATGCAATGCATCTATTTAATTATTTTTCTATGTGCGTAATCATAATTATGAGTCGCATCGAAACGATGTGTGACACAAAACCAAATTGTGCGATAGTTATAAAACAGCGCTTTCTACTGAATGATTTTTCGACTAAATTTTAGTTCTTCTTTTATTTTTGTATATGACCTATTCTGCATGTGAAATAAATCGATTTCTCTTTCGTTTCCTTGCAATGAACGATTAAAAAGAAAAGAAAATCTAGCTTTTCCCTTCTATATAAATGCGAGAAAGAGACGTCATTGGAAGAGATTTAATTTTGTTCACGGAAAATTTCTAATTTTAGTAGTCAATTTTATGCTCCTACTACGTTCTTTTATTCACCTTTGATCGATAACATCACGTTTATTTATGAGCACATCAGACAAAATCATGACTTTTTCATCAAGCATTATCAGGCGCACTGCATTCGTAAGTGTCGTTCAAAAAAGAAAAAGCTTTCATTTCATTCGGACGATATTAAATTGTAATTGAGGCTGATTTACTCGGTGAAGCAATATAATGAAAAGATAGAGTTTAATTATTTAGTACTGTTTTTAATTAGTGAATTACAGCGTCACAATATAAGCTGTTAGTACTCTAACATCAAGGTGAAACAACAGAAGTGAAATTAATATTTCAAAGATATGTTCAATTTCTTTTCTTGTTCAACAATACAAACCAGGTACTTCGCCATTGTGTTGTGAAGCATGCCACCTATTATTGGATCGTATATTAGTAGTCAGACATATATTTTTATTATTGTTTGCAACCAAGAAGCATTTCCGGAAACTTCCTGTTTTGTTTTGAAGTTGTGAGAAAAATCAGTACAAGTTTTACCTGATAGGTTGAAAAATGTTGTTAGTTTCATAGGCATATACATATGAATTACAGATGGAGAAAACATATCCGCTAAATAATTATGAGATCACCGCATACCTAAAAATTAGAAAAGCCTATTATTTTCTGCACTATAATCATCATGCGTTTTTAATAATCGAAATTACCTAGATATATTATTGACGATTAAATCAGTAGTATATCATTTCTTTTCTTCTAATGAAAAATATAGATAAATTTGCCTGGAATACTGTCGTTAGGATAGAACAGGACAGCAGAATGTTCCCTGAGTAACATTTTCTCTTAGATAAATCATATTCATTATAGAAGTGTAAGTACAAATCAGTAAGAATAAGCCAAACGAGATAGCTCCAGGATAATGAACTCACATAGTTTATCCTCCGGCGTTGTAGGTTTTTATTGATTTACTTTCATTCTCGATTCTCTTATGAACATGCCAATTTTAGTAAAAAATCTTCCAATCAACTTTTATTTTAGGCTATCTAACTATCTTGTTTTTCTTCTCACATTCGCTTCTAATATCGGATCCTGTTGATCTCGTGACAAGTCTAAGTAGAAGCAATTGATAATGATTATTTTAGAAATATACAAAATACTGTTTGATCTGTACTAGTTGATTTTGTCTATATTTGAATCTTTACTTCTTTTTTATCTAAAACCTTGTAATGAATTGATGTATGCCTTCTTTTTTCCTTATCATATTTTTATTCTGATTCACATCCAGTTCATAGCGTGCTAAAAGGCTTGAGTTCTATATGAACTTCTATTATTTTTCATTCATCCTCAGAATCATCTTATCATTAATTTGAAAGGATCAAATATGCCCACATGCATAGAGAAAGGATAGCTTGTTCTTATATTAATAGTTTGTTTTATTCTTTTATTTATGTTGTTCTATATGTAAAAAAGAACGTTATATATATATTTATATGACAAGCAAGGTTCTAATTCACTAGAGTAGTATCGTGATTGAACCAAATATTTAAATGGCATTGATTCCTAATAAATATGTTTCTTTATCATTTGAATAATTTAACCAGGCGACGAACAGCTAGAGAAAGATACAAATAAACGAATCAATATGAAATATGGGGTGTGATTATCTATTTTTCTATTACTTTTTGTTTTTATTTTCCCATACACGCGAACAAACACATAGAAAACTTTGTAGAAACAAGAATAGTTACCATCAAGAAAGGATGCAAGCATAGTATAGAGAAATATACACGAAATATGTGATCATTGTAAAGTCAAGAATCATATCATATGAATGATTAGCAAAATGTTAAACTTTTAGTATGTTTTTGTTTTTTGTTGTATTTTGTTGAGCGGACATCGCATGTACTTAAACAAAGATATATCTGGATTATGCTATTTAAAAATCTTGTGTTTAAGAACATTTCAAAAATAATGCGCAAGAGATAATTATAATGTCGTCTCTTTCAGCGTGTGTGGTCATTGAGACGAGAACTAGTTTTGTTTATACGACATAAAAAAATTAGAATTGATATTCTTCATTATCGGATTTCTAGAAAGCTTCATAGTAAAAGAAGAAAGAAAACTATTAAAAAGGAGAAGTAATATTTTCCAGTAAAATATATCTTTCTACTCATTAGTGTTGCCAAAGTGAAACGGAGAAAAAGAAAAGATGTGCAGAGAAAGAAAATCCTGTAAGCTTTTCCTGTCTCACTCTCTCTCTCTCTCGTGCGCTTTCTCATCTTACAGATTTGTATTACTCTAGTAGCCTGTTACACTAACATCATGTCATTTCTTTCTCTTTCTCTTTTTCTTTTCATTAATATCATCAAATAAGTTGGATTCTTTCTTTTGTATCGTGATTTTATTTCTAATTGAATGTATTCTAATTATATAGTAAAAAAAAAATATCCCGGGTCGTCTTTATTTTAGATATTAGAGCAACAGGGTTTATTAACCAACAATTGCTTATAGTGCTACATTAAAGTTATTATATTTTTGCTAGTCAAAAATAGATCAAAGTTTTCTTTTTAAAACTCTTGATAGAGTTGACATCAACATTAGCATTGAAATCTATTTATTTACTTGTACAAATACATTAACTATGAATAAGTATGTGTATAAAACATCATTTGTTAAAATATATATGTATATTCTATAATATTTTTTTCAATGTAACTTTTTACAGCTCCACAGCTGAAATGCCTCTCGCCTATCCTGTTGATATGTTCGCCACTCTATTAATAATAAATCGTATAGTTTATTGTGGTTATTTTTTGTTTCTTATTTTGGCCGGCACTTGCGGTAATCTCTTAACAGCTATAACACTACTTCAAGCCAAACTACGTAAATATACGACATGTCAATTCATGGCTGTATGTGCATTATTAAATATTGGAGTTTTATTAACAAATACTTTAAATATGATGTTATCACAAGGCCATGGTATTCATTTGCGTAGTTTATTTGATTTGGGCTGGTGTCGAATAAATGCATTTGTTGCTCAATGGATCCGTGGCATGGCATCATGGATTCTTGTTATTGTTGCATTTGATCGTTTTCAACAGTCAAAAGTTGTTCGACATACATCTACAAGAAAAAGTTCTGTCGTTCCTTATACATTATTTATCAGTAGTTTTATATTGTTAATATTAAATTTGCATTATCTTCTATTTACGGGAACCAAACTATCATTAAATGGCATTACGCCTTTTATCGCATGTATATTTTACCAGCAAAGCAACAATCATATACAACGATTCTTTGCAACAACAAGTACCTGGCAGGAACTTGTGACGATTATTATTGTTGTAAGTTTTCTTTTCTTGTTTGAGAAAATAGAAACAAGGCTTCATTTTCACTTTTGCAAACGCTGAATTAAAAGTCGGTAATTCGAATGAGAAAATAGCCATTGGTGAAATACAATGCCAATTATATTAATAGGATTTTTTTTGTTTAGCCATGCATATTAACGTTAATACTAAACATATTCATAATAAAAAACTCGTTTCTTAAACCAGTAAGTAATGAACATCTTAAATCCCGTTCAAAGAGTCGTACACGACGTGTTACAACTATGCTGCTCGCATCGAATATTGGCTTTTTAGCGTTAGTTGCACCAGCTCAACTTTTTTATGCTCTAACATTTAATCCACAGATTGGTATGCAATCACCAGACGAATATAAATCGTTTATGATACAAGGAACTATTTATCAATGTTTAATTAATACATATTATGCGGCATCATTTGTTTTTTGTTTTGCATCATCGTCTGTATTTCGTCGTGAAATAAAAAAACTTTTCCAAAAACAATTCAAATCGAAACCTGAAATGAATCAGAAATTAAACGATAGACATTGTGCAGCAAATGAAACCTGTTCATTTATTTCTCCGGCGCGCACTAGTGAACCTAAATCTTTAAGTAACGATCGATGTCAGGAATATGCACTTGAAAAACAACGTCTCAAACGAGGAACAATTTCGACAACAGAAGATGATGGATCTCTTGAACAATAAAACTGGCGTGTTTTTGCTTCTTATTGTTTTTTTTCTCCTCCTATCTAAATGTCCGATGCGTAGAGTGATCTCATTTAATTTCTAAAGTTGTATCTGCGAAAAGAAGAAAAAGAGAATGAAATTCCTTAGTTCGGTGGGTCTCTGTTGTAAATTGTATCAGTAATATTTGTATATGCTTGCTTTCAGTTTTTTTTGTTAAAAATGTAATAAGACACGAAATTCTGCTCGATTATTTTCTGTTGGTTATCGAAAAAGTTGTAAATGGTTTTAACATCAAAAATAGTCTATAAAAAAAAAGATAACAAAATGTTCTGCATTTATATTCATTTTGGATTCCCAATGACGTATTATCTAAGAATTGAAAATACAAGATTGATTTAATATCGTCAACGTAGTTACTACTCCTTACTATCAATTCATATGCCTACAACATAAGGTTGTTTTTCTTCCTGAATAATTAATTACGAAAACTAAGCCGTTGAGTACAATTTAAAAGTTAGTTGCGTATGCCTGAAGCATTTTGCGCATTTGCTATTTTTCTTCGCCGGAGATGTTTATTATAATATTTAAAAACAAATTAACTGAATAAAAGAAAATTTCTCATTGATTAAGTTGTTTCAACGATTTCATTTTGCTATTCAGGAAATAGAAGTTGTCAGCGTCGCAAAATAAAACGCATAAACCATAATGAATAGAATAAACATATCATGCTTTGGTAATGTTGTTATCGCTTGTTGAATATTCCGATGAGACTTGGTTTATCTTCTCGTTGTTTATGATTGGTTTCAGTAGAATAGTTCATCTTAACCAGTAAAATTTGTTGTTTTGTATAACATATTCTATCGTTCATTTATCGATGACTTTACACTTCGTGCTCTTAAATTGAGTAGTTATCGAAAATCAAAAATGAAGAGTGTTTGCTAGCTTAATGTATTCTAAATCTATTATTTTATTGAGAAAATCGATAGAACCGAAGATTTGCTTGATCTTAATATTGGATTGGACGCACAGGTTTAGATATCTAAACGTTTTAAACCATAATTAAAACGAACCAATTAACATTCATGCAATCCTCAACCGGGGAATTTCGTTATTTCCTTTGTTCTTTCAGCATAATGTTCGGCTACTTGATGACCAATTTTTTGATCAAGTCAAAGATATTTATCATGATTGTTTCTTCGCAAGGATTAAGCCCAGATGGATTATTCTCTTCTCCCACGATAGTGTCCGCATCTATTTTTGTGTTCTGTTTTTATACTGTTATAATTTTTTATGGTTTATTTAGTAAATTGAGCGTATTCTATAATCTGAAAACTAAGAATTAACAAAGCTCTTACTAAAATTAACTAAAAAAGAAGTTGTTCGTGCATGTAAGAAAAAACAAATCAATGCGCATTTTATTCCATAAAGAGTAATTTGTCATAAAGTAAATAATTCTAATGCATTCATTTGATTAAAAATGATCAATTAGAGTCCTTCGAAGGCTGTTATTTATGGAAATTCATATTTTTTAAAATCTTGGCTAACAGATAATTTACTAATTGATTAATTAAAGATTAATAATGAAAAAAAAGTTAGCATGCAAAAGTAATTGAATAACATTGTGTAACAGAAATATTTATTTAGCTTTCCAAAGGTTTTTTAATTCTTAATAATGTAGACTTTAATGATGGCAATTATCTAATCTAGCGCGACATGTTGAATAGGAAACAACACCTAATTTATTTCATAGATGTCAATCGTAAAACTTTCATTCAATTCAAAGCATTCTTAGAAGCGGAAAAGAAAGAATATGAATGCTAAGTTATGTTACTGATTACTAGTGACATTTTTACACTAGAAAAATCGAGAATGTCTTGACATTGATCAAGAAATATTTTTATTTTAGAAACAAAAAATGTAATACGCTCTATTGGAATAATATTTATTTATAAATCATATTTTTCTTTCTAGTAAGACGATAGGAGGCGAATGGCTTTTTCTCTTCGTGCAAAATTAATCAATGAACAACCAACTGAGAATATGAATGATTATTCAACACACTAAATAAAATCTTCTTTTTTTGCAAATTAGATCTGAATCTCATATGAATAATTCGTTTTTAACTATGAAAGATTTGAACAGAAAAATATAAATGTTCAAATGAACTAAAAAATAGAGCAATATTTTACGCATAAATACTTGGCAATCTTTTTTTCATAATTTTAATCGACGAAATAAAAAATAAAGCTCTTCAACAGAGTTTCATGCATGCTATTGTAGACGGTGAAAAGGACATAATGATTAAAGTATTTATTAAACTGAAAAATCTGCAAAATTAAATGAATACAATAACTTTATTATTATAAACTGACGCTATTCTTTCTTACTCTAACCATTTTCCTTCTATTCAGAAGATTTGTGGAGACAATCTGTCATGGATTCGCCTGTTATGCGCTCATCGTTGAGAACAATGCCTCTCTTTATCATTATTCTCTTTCTTTCGTTGTTCTCTTTCTCTCTCTTTCGCGTACACATATAAATACCCTTGTTCGACGGCTGTTCATCAGTCATTCTTGATTCAGTCTTCGTATTCTATTCTTCTCCTCCCTTGTTCGTTGTCATCCTTCCATAATATATGAAAGAATAAATCACAAGTAACTCAAAACCGTTACACAATCAAATTGTCAATGTTAATAATAAGTTTAAATCCTTATCCGTGTTTTACTCTAAATTCATTTGTATTCAATGGAAAAATATAAAATAACATTCTAAATCTTTATTAATCAACAGAGATATTGTTAGATTACGTTAATCCCGATTAATTAATGAACTCTAAATACTACGCATGCTCTTTTATTATTGAGTTGGAATGACAGACATAGTAGATCTATGAATAATGAGCATATCATGAGTTATTGCAATGAAATATGTTTATTTCTATTAGGATAGTTCGAAAACGAAATAAAATAAAATAATTTTATCGCAAAAGAAAAATTTCATATGCCATATAATTATTATTTGAAAAAATCATGCTCACACTAAATAATTAATATGAATATTAACTCTAAGATTATCAACATAGGAAAGGCACATGTCAAGTAGAATGCCTTAAAGCTGAGCATAGGTTTGCTTCTTGTTCTTGACTCTGAATTTTAACATCAATTGTAAGTAAACATTAATCTGGAACGCTTGTACGTTTTGACTTTTTTTCTCGGAAAATTTATCAAAAAAGAAACATCTACTAGAAGTGATTGCATTATTTACACTCCGATAAAACAGCCTGTGACGTACACGAATGCTATCGATCAGTGAAGGAGAGAAAGCATCAAACGTCATAAGATTATTTCATTGAGTTCAACATATACATTATTTTACATCAATGAAAATCGTTGTAATATTTTAAATAAAAATTTTAAAATATTTTTGTGAACTATGAATGATTTCAATAGCGAATCAGACAAAAACTGTTTCTCAATTTTTAATATTATTTTTTTGTGATTTATTTATTCTATAACTAGCCACTGTTCTATTTCATCTATTGAAATTATTTTCTATTACGTATTAATTTAAACAAGAATCCAGATGAAAGCCTTCAAATATCTAATTAAAAACAGTGTTTTATCTATGATTTCAAGCGCGACAATTGTTCTGAAGCATAATCTAGTAGGAGAAGAGTATTGAATTTAATAGAGTACAACGGTTCACACTGATCTTCTCTCAGCATTAGTCGTGATAGACAAGAATCAGGATGAGCACAGAGCGTGCAGACGTTTTTGATATATGATAACAAACTGTATACCAATACTGTTTCGTTACACAATACAAGCTATGTTTGCGTTTTATTTTTTGAAAGATTGAGTTTAGGAATGGCGAAGAAGTATTCTCTAAAATAGATAAACAAGAACAATATATTTGAGATTAGCCAGATTATTTATATTGCGTTTTCTGTTTTAATCTCAGAAATATCACGCTAACAGAATTCTTTCGTGTGCTATCGATTGTGGACATCAAGCGTAGATACAGGGACGGCGCAAACGGGTGGGGGGGGGGGGTCCCTCCAACTTTGGAAATTTTTGTTTCAATTTTACTCCGATTTGAAGAAAATAGAAGAGATTTTTATTAATTTACTCCGATTTTTGAAAAAAACCTCCCGTTTTCAAGTAACCCCCCTATATTTTTGTTGCTTCGCGCCGTCCCTGCGTAGATGAAGAACTTGGTATCGTGTATTTCTAATCTAGGATCATCTAACCACGCTCATACTATGCTTGCATCCTAAAAGTATTCAAAGTTTTATTGTGCTTCACTACTAATGAAAGATTTTAGTTAATTTTGTATTTCAGCTCTGTATACAAGATTGTCTTCTACCAATTTTTGTTAGGCACACAAGATTTTATTTGAGAATTTTAATAACTATAAGACTGAAGCATTCCGATCCATACTTTTATTAAATTAACTAGACTATCGATATTTTCATCGTTACAGTCTGATGAAAAATTTCATTACGAATCGAAACTCGGTGTTAATCAAGTGAAAAATGTTAGTGAAATTGAATTGCTAAATTTGTCTGCTGTATATCTATTATGATATTCAATGTCTCCATATGATTAAAAATGTATTAACTAGGGCACTTTGTTCTGTTCTCTAAGTGAATGATTTTTCTTCGATAAAATTAATTTTATAGAAGTAAAAAAATGTGTTGAAACCTGATGACGATTAAAGACTTTTAAAATTAATTTGTTTCAGAAATATATCACTGAGCATCTGACGATTTCAGGTCGAAAAAACATTTCTTTCATGAAATATTGAGTTACAGGAGAAAACAGGAGATCGGCGCGTCTTTATTACGATGTGAAAGGTGTTTAGAAATTCAATATCTCACAAACAATAGGTTTTATGGGCCTACTATTGTCTGAATATTAACTATTATAACAATTGGATCTATCTGGGTATAAGATTTCAAATAAAAGCCTCATGGTTCAATTAATTCACATGAGTTGCGTCATAGACTAAAGCTCTTGTACGAAGGGCTACGAAGACTTATATTTTCTATGGTTTTCAAAAATTATTCGAGTGTGCTTTATGGAAACAGTTTGACTCTAAAAAAAAGGAATATCTTTAAATAGTTTTCTTGTTAGGTTTAATCGAAGATACTCTTCAATCATGGGTTTCTATTACAGTAAACTTTCCAATCATATGTCCCTGCGGAAGAGAAAGTAATTCCAAAATATGGCAACCTATTTGATTGAGTAGTTTAATCTTTGAGTAAACCCAAAGATGAATAATTAATTAAGATTCTCATTTCTAAATTGTAGAGTATGAATCCGAACTCATTTAGACTGTATGTTGCACATTGATTGAACATATCAACTGTTTTTTTTTCGTATGGAAGCGTACCGACAAGTATATTTGTGAAAGTTTAAATTCGACACAACTGAATTCAGTTATAATTCTGATCAATAAATATCATCAAATTTTATATTTAAAGTTCACTTATTGAACCACGCTCATTTGAAATCAATTCCTATTACAACAAGATTGATACGTTCGTTGTCTCTGTAACATCGCGATTAGCCAATAGTTTATACTAGAAAACACAATAGATTCATATAAAACTATGATCATAGCTGTATTTTCTTGAGGGTGTCAATCACATCCTATCAGTTATTTATGAAATACTTAAATTCGACTAAGCTATGAAATCTAACACAGTCATACATGTTATTACGTACTTTTATCAGTTTTCAATACGAGAAAATCATGCAAAAGATATGAAACTATGCAATTTTAAACGCAGAAGGTAAAATTTTCCTTCCATTTAAAAATTGCTTTTCTCTACGTGAAATGTTACTTTCTTTATTAATGATATTGGCAAGGACACCGAGTGCTTCTTCTTTTTTTCCATCCATCAAATAACAACAGGATAAACCAGAAGGAGGTCCTGAAAGCTCGAATTGCATTAAAATTAATGACAAAAATAGCATCAGTCTTTGTACTTATGAATAGCAATTATGATGCTATTATCTATATTTATCTCGTTTAATGTCCTCTACGAATGCTGAATACACTTCGTTTAGTATTATTTGTGCAGAAATATTTTCTTTTATTTCAATCTCAAATGTGGTGCCTGACAAAAAATAAATAGAAAAACAACCATGGTACTAATCAAAAATATAAAAACAAGTAAACGATCAACAACTCGACCCAAGATTTGCCATTCTTGTCCAATCATCCTATTGTGTTCTTGTTGTTCATATCGACTTTCATTCTGTTCAACAAGACGATGTATATAATCCACAGATAATTTTGTAGCATTTTTATTTTTATTTTTATTTTTATTTGTTAAATCGGTTAGAAACTTTTGATTATCTTTATCATGCGGTTTGTGATTTTGCCGATTTGATTGAGTATTTCGCGTTTGTATAGGCGCATACGAACGAAGTATTAATGGTGAAGACGTATATAAATCATATGAATTAAGATTATCCGAAAATGCCAATGAACTTGTGGTATTACGGTTAACTGGATCTTCGTACAACGTAATTTTGCCATTATGTAATAAAGTATTTTTATTTTTAGTATCGGATTTATGCATTAGTTTTTTTCTTGTTTCCGATTTTTCCGATGTTGTTGTCGTCTAGAAAAGAGCAAACGTAAAAAGAAACATTTTTTACTGTTAGTTTTTCGGGATTTTACCATGCATTTTAGACAGCTTTCACGTCGATTTTGTAACTGAACAGGAAGATCAATATTCATAAAAAGTAGCTTTGGAATTATAATAAAAAATAATTGTCCAATCCATTTGGGAACAGGATGAAGATGATGTTTACCACGATGATATAAATTAAGAGAAGCTACTGACATTGCTGTTGCTATACTTACAATTATAATGGCAGAAAAATAATAGATACCTAAAATTTAATAAAAAAAATGCGTGTCAGTGTGGTCTAACCGATGTCACATTGAGATTCGTGGTCTAAAATTCATTAACTGTTTGTTTCCGCAAAGAATTTCTATTCATAAAAGTTAAAGTAGTGCACTGCGGAGTGCTGACGAAAGAATTTTTAAATTCTGACTTGATTAAAACTTTAATAATAAAGGAAAGCTTCAAATACTTCAGAAAAAAGAGTCTATTGAATCTCTTTTCTCACTTGATATCGATTTTTTCATATACGCATCTCGAAATCCCATCATTTATATTTCGCATAACATACAATTTAGTAGATTATAACCGTGTGTTTACGAAAAACATTTACCCTTAATTTGTTATATATGTATCCCAACTTAATTAATAATACAGTCAGCAAGAAAATGTTAAATTAACATACCAATTAATGGTAGAGAATCTGAATTAGGCGGCATACTATCAGTAACAAGCATGAGAAACACTGTCATTGAAAGAAGAGTTGTTACACCAATGGACACTTTTTCTCCTGAAATAGAAAAATATAAATTAAATTCATATAGATTCGATTGTAATGAATTTGTCATACCACTATCAGATGGTACACAGAAGCCAAGAAAAGCAACACTGGTAATGAGAAAACATGGTAGAATCATGTTAAATACATAAAACAATGGACGACGACGCATTTGTACTACATAAGTAAGATCAGGAAATGTTTCTGGACCTAATTTTATATTAAATATCATAATAGTTGATTAATAAATTTTTTGTTCTACATACAACAAGAATATTTAACAATATTCTTTTTCACGTGTAGTCCAATGATTTCCCATTCTAGAATAAAACATGTGTTCTCAATAATTTCACAACAAAACCAATTTACCTGAATTTGCCATAAAATTACTCAAATCACCAATGTTCGTCTTTTGTGAGAGATCAATACGAGCACTATCATAAGTCCATGAAGCAAATTTCAAGGTACAATTTTGCTCATCTATGAACAAAAAAACACCATTAATAGGTTTTTAAAAGAAACACATTTTGTTTGCTTACCAAAAGGAAAGTAACGAACATCAATAGGACATGAACTTTTAAAAATACCTGTTGATAACCATGTCACAATACCTTCGAAAGATACCATAACATTAGTTGATATTTGACTTAATGAAGCAAGGTTATCAGCATTCTAAATAAAAACATGTGTTTTTGATTGACACATAATTTCAATATTAAAACAACCAATAAAAATTCTCCAATAAACACAATACAGATTTTCAATTATAAGAAAAATGTCAAATAATTAGAAACACACATTGACGATCATGATCATATTTCTTGCTGTACACACGGTACAAATAAAAAAATAAAAACTTCTCATTATTATATTTTACTAGAAAAATCGAATCTCTGAACTTTGGTCGACAGTAAAATGTCGAAAAAACGAAAAAGTAAAAATATCGAAAACTGAGTAGGTATTCATGAAAAATGTCGTGTTCAGAATTGATTCATTATTAAAAGAGGTTGTCCCTTATTCGAAGTAATGAAATTTA